TTGTGAGCCACGATCACGAGCTCGCCTATGCTGCTGGCCATGGCTATCTGAGTCTTGATGGCCCGCACTGGCTGGGGGCCGACTCTAGATGCGCACTGCTTGCTTTCGAGCCTTCACATGCGCAGAAAGCAGAACACACCAGATGCGGACAAACGGGCAAACCGACAAGGATGCAAGCATGTATGCTGACTCTTCAACAGCTACGGTTGGCAATCACATGGCATCATCTATGGCACTCTCTGCCTTTTTGTCCCAATCATTTAACACGGCACACCAAAACCGAGTCCAGTTCGGCTTGCTTCATGCAGCCTGAGATGTCTACCGCCTACTCAGCATTGGCGGCCGCCCGGATGGTCTCCAGGTCCTGCTGTATGCGCCAGTGGCTGGATCCCTTCAAGCGGGACCCGTCGTAGAAGGCTTTAGGTTCCTTGGAGCCAGACTTGGCGTAGAGGACATCGATCGCGTACATGTCGTCGTCCTTACCACGGATGTACTGGTACATGAGAACGGGCGGCAGACATGGCCAAACCACTGTTCGGCAGAAGGTGCCCAGCTTGATCACGTTGCAAAAGCTCTGTGGGCTCGCCTGCGGAGCGGTGAGGAACTTGTGAGCCACGATCACGAGCTCGCCGATGCTGCCGGCCATGGCGACGTCAGCGCAGACTTGGGGTTCGCACAACCATAGGAGCCCGACTGGCAGACGTATAAAAGCAGAGTAAATACTTCACTGCAGGAAACAACAAAGCTCAGCGGAATCTGTCACACCAAGCGCAATCAACTAGAACTCGCCTTAAGTGTTACCTGCGCCCCCTTTGCTAACCGCCCAGCGAGAAAATCCTGATAAACCGGCAGACACGTGCAGGAGCGCATTTTGCCTCTCAGAACGCGTGGTGGCAGGACTCTCTTTTCGTCTATCAGAAATCAAAGACTGCTGCGCAGCATCTGTCTACTCAGCATTGGCGGCCGCCCGGATGGTCTCCAGGTCCTGCTGCATGCGCCAGTGGCTGGATCCCTTCAAGCGGGACGCGTCGTAGAAGGCTTTAGGTTCCTTGGAGCCAGACTTGGCGTAGAGGACATCGATCGCGTACATGTCGTCGTCCTTACCACGGATGTACTGGTACATGAGAACGGGCGGCAGACATGGCCAAACCACTGTTCGGCAGAAGGTGCCCAGCTTGATCACGTTGCAAAAGCTCTGAGGGCTCGCCTGCGGAGCGGTGAGGAACTTGTGAGCCACGATCACGAGCTCGCCTATGCTGCTGGCCATGGCTATCTGAGTCTTGATGGC